CCATACAAGTCACACGCCCATAGGCTTGTAAAAGATTCTACCCGGGAGACATTCTATGTGAGTCCAAAGTTTGTAACAGAACTTCTTACGCACCCTGTACAATCACTCCAGAATTTCCCTGCTTATTCCTGAGATAGTTCATTGCAGATTTTCAATGCCTCAGGGATTTAATAGGGATATAAGAAGCTCAATGCCATTCAGGGATAGAGAGAATTTCCCATCAGGAATTACACCTTTTGAGGAATAATCAATCAGAGAAATGCCCTTCAGAGATAAATATACCTGTAAGATATATATGTAAGTGAAAGACTGTAATGGGAAAAATCCTTTCCAGGTAAATTCCTTCTGAGGAATAAACTGCTTGGGAAATTTTATTTCAGGGAGGATTCCATGAATCCCTGTAATTAATTCTTGAAGCTGGCAAGCCAGTGTGGCAGAGAGGCAACAGCTATTATGGTGATGGGATCATGTATTTCATTTCCATGCTTTCCCAGCCCATTTAACAAGTGAAGACAAAGCAAGCAATAAAGAAGTGGATTGGAGGCAAATGCCCTTGCCAATGGTGAACTTGAGGGATGGAGACTTGGTGGGGTAGGTTGGGGTGAAGGGTCAGACCAAGAGAGAAGTCAAGATATAACTGGGGATTAACCCATCAAGTGCTCAATTTTTCATTGCTCTGGCATTAGACAAGCATACCTTTAAATTACTACTTTTCTTCTGTTTCACAGCCAAAACAGTCATTTGGCCCAGCAAAAGGTTTTGCTGTATATTTCTGAACATGCTCTGCATGTAGGTCCAAAGATTACCAAAATCAGACAACAGATAGCAGTTTATATAGTGGGCCCTTGATATCCATTGTTAATTGGTTCCTTAACCCTTTGCGGTCCATTTATTTGGAAGCTGTCTGGCTCCTCAGGTCAAATTTATTTTAATGGAAAAATAAGAAAGAACAATGTATGCAGTTTAACCCTTTGTAATACTATGTCAGATGCTGTCTGACATCGCTTACAGTGGCTCTTTTACTCTTTCACTGGCATGTTTTCATGCACAAATTGTTACCCCAGTGCACAGTGGGGAAAAGGACATTTTCCTAGCCTAAATTGAAAATATTGAATTTTTTTGCATAATTATGATACTTACCCATTAATTACCAAATAAATGAACTTCAGAAAATTGCAGTTACTTTAAAGAAAGCTGAAGCCTTTTTCATGATAGAATGCTGTAAACTCAATGAAAATCTGACTATCCCTCCATGCCCTAATTTCTTCAGGTTAGGAAAAAACCAACTTGTCCCAAGAATAAAACCATGATTGATCTGTTTGGACTTGAGGGAGCCTTCGATGAATAAGTACTTTCATGGTGCATGATATGATATTCTAAGTTACATTATTACGAGCGTGGTGCCTATTTTTCTCAACACTAATCTTCAATTACTGCTCTGCCATATTTGTTGTATGCTGCAAAAAAAGGCAATTGAGTATGATGGAGATTTGGGCATTGCTGGGATCTAACGTTAGTATTTTTGCAGCCACATGAAAACTAGCAGCTACATTTTGCTACTTTGACAATAGGAGTCAGATATCATGCAGTATCTACAAAGTTTTCTTGCTCATGTGTGGATATTCCAGGCATATGACAAGTTCTCGACTCAAGTGGGTAAGCAGTGCGGCATCAGCTGGTGACTCATAAGAAAAATGGGATGCAAAAAATTCATTCCTAATGTTCTGTTGATTACTTTCAGGAATCTCCCAAAATATTGGATGTATACATGAACTCCATTCCAAAGGACAACATATTGCTGGCTTCAAATCACATCACCTCATGATCGAGTGCAATGAAGATTTGGGCATTTCTGGTTCATAATTCTGGGGTTTCAGCAGGCACATGAAAACTAGCAGCATGATTGCTGATTCAACAAGAGAGTGAGATTTCACCCTGCTTCAACAATATCCTTCTCACCACTTTTCTTGTTTTGCTGACTTCTAATGGCATCATGAGGTGATGCAATGAGAAGTCACCATTAAATCATTTGTAATGGTGTTCTTTGTATAATTTGATATTTCGGCGATTCCTGGAAGTAATCAACAGAAAATTAGGAATTAATTTTTTACATTCCATATTTCTTCAAAATTCTACTTTTAAATTTTGGCCTGGAAGATGCCCTTTTGTCCCACTGTGCACTGAGGTAAAAATTTGTCTGAAAACATGCCAGTGAAAGGGTTAAAGAGTCACTGTAAGTGATGTCGGACAGGGTCCGACATAGGAACACAAATGGCTAAAAGTGCGACAGATAAGGAAACAATGGATATGGAGCAAGAGACTCGCATGTTATAATGATAATTAGTTTCATGGAAGTCATATACTTGAGCACTAAACTCATTAAGACAAGTGGCAACATGATGATGGATATGAGAACCGATGACAGATACGGAAATAATGGTGTTAAATAGTGGACAACGGATATGAGAAACGAAGGATTGGAAAGTTGATGGATATCAAGGGCCCACTGTATATGGCAGTGCAAAAACCATACAGAGTATGTAGAAATGGGCTGAGGTGTTAGCCCCTCAAGTGTGCACAATGTTATATGCAATTCTTGTCATAACTGCTGGATATGCCATTCTGGCATGGGAGGTGCTGCTGCCTACTAGAAAAAATTCACACTTGAGGCGTTAAAAGAATATGCTCTGCTTAATCCCTGGGGGAAGTCTGCTGGTGTAACATGCCTGGCATGACAGACAACAATGGTCTTATCAACCATGTGGTGGTAATCCCCTCTCCAACCATGAATAACAAGCAAGAGAATCAAACAAAGGAGGCAAGATCCCACAAGCACCATATCAATCACAAAAGGATATGATGGAAGGTAAACCCCCCAACTGCAACAGAAGGGAATGGAATTAAATCCATTGGCATCTCCCACCTTCCTTCCATGATGCATTGATGCACCATTCAATCTCCATATGATGTTTTAAAAATAGCACTAATGACAGCTGTAATTATAACCATTTATGAAGCTGGCAATTGAGGCTGAAGGTTCCTAGGGATGCACATGCATGCTCAGACTTTTCTATCCACTCTTAGAGCAAGGGAATGCATGGAATTACCTGGGAGTAATGCATGGGGATTGTGTCATGTCTTACACATTCATTTTCCACCAAAAATCCAGAAAAAATTATATTACTTTGCTCAAGCCCACTCATAGATGCAGACTCCCTAAAGTGACAATGCCTTGTGCATGGACAAGGGATACCATTGACAATCTTATGGCAAAGGACTCTACAGAGAGACTATTCTTTCTAGGAAATATTTTTTCCTCATTGATCCTCATTTCCTCATTGCTATAGGGCAAGATTTCTGAATGGAGATGCATGACATATTCAAAAGATAATCCTCTAAAAGCAACAACCTGAAGATGTTTGGCAGCAACTTGTCCAATGGTGATGGCAAGCCCGGACCATCGTGGAGGGTAGTCATGTGGGGTTCCCTCACGTAATTCCTGCACCCATTCATAAGGGATTGGGGTGCCCTGGGTGAACACCTGGATCCCTTCCTTGAGACCTGGCTCCTCCAGAACCAAGCACCCCATGTCATACCATCTGTCATGAATTTTCACAAATCAACCATCTCACCTATGCTTACCTAGTCAAGGTTTTCTGCATTACTATTGTCTATAAGAATCATCTTAAGCTACAGTTATCACTAGTACCCAACAATGAGTGAAATGACCTGCACAGATCACAATGAATTGAAAAATACAATTCTCAACATTTTAAGTGGATCACTTGGGTAGGTCATGACTTTATCGTGCTAGGGAAACTTATTGAGTAATTTGCAAATATTTATTACAGAATATACCTTACAGATACAAACAAAAAAAAGTATCCCTTAATGTTGGTGGTTGTTGAGACGTCCTCATGATCCAATGTCCATAAACAACTTGAGCGGTGCACTTCTTCAAGAGTGGGATGCTATACCTCAGGAAACCATCCAAAATGTTATCAGCAGTATGAGAAGACGATGTGATACTGTAATTCAAGCAAGAGGGGGTCCGACAAGGTACTGAGATTTCAATATTTCTCTGAACTCTCTACACAATCAAGAAAATCAAATGGGAGGCTGGTGTCCCTTAGTAACAGGAGTTGAAAAAAGTGATTCTTTCTCGTTACCTAAAAGGTTAAACTGAGTGATTCTTTTTGTGTTTGTATCTGTAAAGTATATTCTGTAATAAATATTTGTAAATAACTCAATAAGTTTCCCTAGCATAACAAACTTATGACTTACCCAAGTGATCCACTTCAAATGTTGAGCAGTGTACTTTGTTAACCCCTTCATCCTCATTTTGATCATAGAAATAACTGCTAATCCCCTCCCTGATTTGGCTGTATACAGGAGGGGACTCACTGTCCAGGCAGCATCTCGATGATAAAATTCTCCAGAGCAATGATGGGTGCGTTGGAATCCACCATTCCACTGCGTCTCAGATTTCCTATGCGTTCCTCACATGCCTTCCTGGCTTTTGCTGCCCCCACTGGCTGGGCCGCAATTGACACTGCCTGTGTACCCATCCCACTAAAGGAGCAACAGGGGCATCAATATGCTGGACTAATCTCTCCTCACCTCAGAGCATGGACGTATGTGAAGAAACACACGAGACAGAGAAGTGCAAGCGAGATGGGGAAGAGGAGAATGCATCTCTGATGGGGCCAACTTTTGACTCCTTGTCAGAGGCCACAACCAGGTTAACCATTGACAAGGGAGATTCCTCTTTTGCTGCAGGAGACAATCACAATATGCATAAGATTTAAAAACATTGTTTAATGTACTTGAAGATTTTAGGAAGGGTATATGAGGAGCTATTAATATTCATTAGGGCTGTCAATTCGACTAGATTAATCTACCGATTAATCGATTCAAGTATTAATCGCGATTTAAAAAATTAGTCGAAACTAATCGAATTTTAATTGACCCCCCAATTGCCTCTTTTTCTGAATTTTAATTGCCTCTTTTTCCCTTTATAATTTGACTGTGTAGTTCATAGTTTTGCAAAACAACCGAAAACGAATGCTTTATCAATGGAATGAAATGTAATGATGACTTATAGAAGGTAGTCGTTTTCGTACAGCTCACTCTTCCTATAAAATTACTTATAATTTTTGGAAAAGGGAACACAAAAACAAAGCTACCGCTTTCAGACTATTTCAAAAAAGAAGCTTCCTGACCCATTCGCATCCACAAGCGTCCTGGTACGCATCCCGAATGGCCTCGCAGGTCTCGTGCATCAGGAGAAGATACGTGGTAGCAGCGGCCTAGAGCGACCGTAAAGTCACTGCATGGGAGTGGGGAAAAGAAAGTCGTAATGAAGGAGCCGAAAGGGAACGCGCAGAAGGAATAGAGGATTTAGACAAGGACGTAGGACAGGAGAGACAGGAAAGAGAATAATGTTCAGACTGGGGAGTGAGAGGCGTACGTTAAGTGCGTCGGCGAAGGTTTGTGGCAGCTCCCGGGAAGTAACAGGAAGAGGGGGAAAGCCGGAGGCAGGCGAGAGAATAGGAAGCGAGAGTGTGGAACCTTCTCCTATTCCTTACTTTTTCTGCTCTTCCATCCTGAGTTGCCCGTGAATCGGTAATGAATCTTTAAATCTCCGCGTAATGAAGTGTCACTGTATACCTCCAATCATTTCGATTACACTTTTGCATCCTTCCGGCATGAGTTGGCTAAATGGCAAAGGGCATTAGTGCGCTTCTTTGCTTACGTTTCTTTATTCATCTGGCTATGTTGTAATTATTCTCTCTACGATAGGAATGTGTCACATGTAGGTTTTACTGACAAGTATGGACTAGTGAGTTTGTTTGTCCTTCGGGCAAACAAACTCGCTATTGTCGCGCCTTCGGCGCTCCATTCCCAGTATAGTGATTCATTCAATAATTTATTTTCGAAGTGGCTAAAACGTATAAAAAGTATGTGCCCTTCGGAATGTGTATCGAGGGAGAACAAAAGGATAATTTCATCGGAATAATTACACCCATTGTTTCTTGTGTGCCTAACTTCAAATTTCTTCATAATCTGCCCTGAGGGGGCATATTTTGAAAAGTAGGACGTGTACTCAGCAATCGAACAGGTACTTCTGCTCCAAGTTTTAACTTCGTTAGTTCTCTCCTTCATTGAATCAGAAAAGTTTCCGGAAAATGCACCTTTTGGAAAAAAAATATATGCCCTCAAGAGTTTTACCTAAAATTTAAAATTTTTAATGAAATCAATACTCGGAGAACTATGTGCATACCAAGTTTCAGCCTTATCTGTTTGCTCATTTTGTTGGTGCAAAAATATCATTGGAAAAGCCGACACAGCCAAAAGCTGTGCCTTGGGGGTATGCACCACACAACTTGAAATTTTTCTGAACTCACCATCCCTCAGTTATTGCTGTGCCTAGTTTCACATTTCTACCTCTGTACAATTCAGTGGACAAAAAAAAATTATTTGAAAAATCACCCCCAAAATATGCTCCCAGGGCATGCATCTGAAAATTGACATTTTTCCTGAACTGTCTCAGTAGGCATGTCCATGCCAGGTTTCAGCTTGCCATGTTTCTCCGTTTGACTGAAGCAAATATATATCATTGAAAGCATCTCCCCAAAATGGGTGCCCCGAGGGCATGTACCTCCAAAGTCTGATTTTTTCTCAACTCTGCATCCCAATAGCTACTTGTGTACCAAATTTCAGATTTCTAACTTAGAGTCTCTAGAACATGATTCGAATTAGCGTCAGTCACGATCGTCTATATATATTAGATGGTAACTGCTATGTTAGCGACTTGATCGCCTTGAGTCACTTCCTGAGGTTCGTCTAGGTGTTGGACATGACATATGCAGAATCATGCCAAACGCCTAGGTCATGATTCAAGGAGGAACTAAGGAATCCATTAAATTAGATTAATCGACCGATTAATCGATTTAATGGCTCACGATTAATCGATCAAATTTTTTCATTGATCGACAGCCCTAATATTCATGCAAATGAAATATTCTATTAACATCTTTTATGATTAAATGAATATAATTTCAATACTCATCTGTGCAGAAAAATGAATTTGCAATAATTCAAAAGAAATAAAAAGCAGTCAAGTTCTATATTTCATGATAAACTGTGAAACAATTATTGGCTGTGGATTCATTAAATAAGTCTATAATTAAACTAGTGATTATCTAAAACCTCATACAATGAAATTCACTGATTATTTTCAATGAAGCTATGGCAAATAATAAATAATAAAAAAGGAGAGGTGCTGAAAAAACGGACTCAAATATTCCTTCATCTGAGGATCAAGGGTCATCATGACAGAATTCATGCCACTCCTGGCCTTCTCAGCCACCTTGGACAAGACAGCATGCCCTCCAACTGACTCTCGGATCCAGCCAAAGAACCCTGCTCCTGCACCTGTAGTAGGGGCACTGGCATTGCTGTAGCTCCCTGGTGCTATGTATGTGGCAGATTCTGGTTCAAGATCCACCGATGCTGATGCTACCGCTTGACTGGTACAGATATAAAACATGAATAAGTACCCACCTACAGGGTGTTGGCAAGTAAGTTCAATATCAATCAACAATGGCCTCAAGAACAAAGCCACGCACAATCTGATACTAGGACATAATGCAAGCAGAAAGTGCGAGGAACCTTTCACAGATGTCCAACTCCGTATGCCATAATAACCATCCACGAACGTTAGTTACCCAAGTAGTCATGGGTGATCCAAAACTCGTCCATGGACAGTTCAGTTGTCCAGCGATGGTCACGAGTCCAGAAACGGTCATCCTTTGGATGTACATATCTGATTGGAAAGAAAGTTCTCGGAATTTTATGAACAATTATTACAACCCAGTTTATTTAAAAGCAAAATCATTTCAATCATGAATGTAATCACCATTGGCCTCTATCACTTCACGCCAACGTTTATGCAAACTATGGATGCCATTCCAATAGAACTCTGGCGGCTGCGCTACGAAAAAGTTGGCCAAATCGGTTTTCAGGTCGTCTTGGTTGGCGTACNAAAAAATTGTACTGGATATTCAAGAAATTCCGAGAACTTTCTTTCCAATTAGATAGTATGTTATCGCCATGGATCGATATCTTCTCATGTATTCTGAGCTTATTGGAGCAGAATTTCCCTCCATCGAACACTCAATTATTTCCATTTTATTGAATGACAGTTCTGTAGTTATTTTTTTTCTTCAAATCTCTCATCTTTGGTCGAAACCCAGTAACTTCAATCATTATATAGTGTGATATTATAACTTGAACCAGTGCATGATTCCATTTAGAATTCGACATTACGAACGAAATGATGTGTCAGTCCTGCTTTGGGCATCCATTGGACGTTCAGCAAAAGAACTTCCAAGGACAACTTCTCACGGTCTACCATCGGATGTCCTTGGATGGAGTCCCCTCCCGTTGTGGCCTTCCATCTGGCCTGACATCTATCAGTTCATTCAGTAACTATAAAGTTCCCACAATATAAGCGAGGTCGCGCTCATCCCGCCACTGTATGTCTCTCAATTCCCTAAATGTTAATGAATGGTTCTGCAGAAGCTTTCATCCTCAACTCGATCATTTTCCACGTACAAGCCGAAGGAAGGAAGTTGTTCTAATTAAAACATTTCTTGAGAGCCGTAAACTAACTCAAGGACACTCCAGGCAATTTTAGCTCAATGCATGGTGAGAGTGGGAGGTGAGTCTAGGGGCTTCCAGCATCACTCAAACTTCATTGTCAAAAGCTATGAAGAGTATTACCTCATTTGGAGGAGACTGGGACGGAGAGCTGAGAGAATTCATTCAGAAAATTTTCATCCTAATTTTCTCCTTCGTATCCTTTAAGAGATGTGGGAGACGGAGCTTTTCATCTCCGAACGGCGAGAACAGCTATTCGATGTAATGCTACTTTCCTTGGTCACGGTATTCATGTATATGCAAAATTTACCCATTGCTACCTAGAGGATGACTATTGTTACATCCCTCAATGGTCATCCAAGGGCTTTCCCATAGGGAAGCTCCAAAGAAACGGTCATCCAATGGACATGTCCAAGGATTACCCTTGGACGAGACATTTAGTCATCCAGTGTCCATGTGTCCATTGGACATACCCTCATGGACACTTGGACATCCAATGTATATCCTCCTCGGACGTCCCATGGATGCCCAAAGCAGGAATGACACATCGTTTTTCGTTCGTATTGTCGAAATCTAAATGAGATCATGCACTGGTCCAATTAGAATATCACACTATCTATATATTGATTGAAGTTATTGGGTTGCGACCTAAGATGGGAGATTAGGAGGAAAAAAAAGAACAAAATAAATACCACGATCGGATCCTCGTAACGAAATTCCATAAAATTCAATAAGATGGAAATAATTGAGTGTTCGATGTAGGGAAATTTTGCTTGAATAAAGCTCAGAATGCATGAGAGTACATCGATCCATGGCGATGGCATCCTATGTACATCCAAAGAACGACCGCTTCTGGACTTATATCCATCTCTGGACAACTGGACTGTCCATGGACGAGTTTTGGATCCCCCATGGCTACTTGGGTGGGTACCCAAGTAGCAATTACTTGGGTATGCTTATGTTATACAAAGCACAAACCCAATCAAAAGCCTGCTGATTTATTTTCACACATATGGCTCTATCCAGGAAATGAGAGAAAACAAATGTGTCAGAAAAATATTTCAGTTAAAAATGAAAAGTGGCAATTAGGGTCACCTTAAGAGTTCTCTCAATTTTCAAGAAAAAATCTAATTTTGATCCTTGAATTAACCAACTGGTGATATTCTATGTTTAGAAGTATATTTAAAATATTTAGAAGCATCCTTAGGATACTTTGAAGTATCCTAGCCCCCATTCTCATGTCATCAAATTTCTCTCTTTTTTCTCTTCTGTTACTGGGGGGCATACCACTTCTCAGACATGGAGCCAGTCCTTCTTTTAATACATTCAGCCCTGGTGATTTGAATGCACTATGGCAGTGATGCACAACCTGCGAGCTGCGAAGGCCTTTTTTGCGGCCCCTTGGATGCCTCCGGTCTCTGAAGATCCAGATTTATATACGGCCTATTTCGACTCATGTTCGAGAGCCTGCAGTCCTCGAACATGAGCTGAAACCCCCAGGCGGTCACCTCGGTCGCCTGCCCCTAAATCCGGCCCTGCCCCGGGGTACCGTATTTAGTGCAGACAAATATGGGACCTATACAATATTCACCCGTGCAACGCCGGATACCTCTGATAGTAACGAATATGGATGACTGGGGTTCAGGCTCAGGAAGGACAGGGATCATGCAAGATGGTACCAGTGTTTCAAACATATTAATAACAAGTTTTCTTTCCTATATCTAGGCCTGTCCTCTTTCTCTCTCTCTTTTTTGAGGACCCATTGGCTCTGGTAACTTTGACTTGCGTGAAATAAGCAGAGTAGTTACTATAAAAAAATTATGGTAATGTGGAAAGCGAATGCAAAAAAAAATTAGTTGATGTATTATGTTTGCACTCACAGAAATGCCTTCAGAGGGCACTGGGAGGTAGGAGCCTTGCCCTGAAAACATGCAGCGTTCAGAACAATATTAGCGAGTTTTAATTGCCAGTGATGAAGGAGATGGATGATAAGGGTATCCCATTCTAAGGTGCATAATGTGAAAATTGAAGGAAAGAAAGTTGGCGTCGCATATTCCAACTGAGAAAAAAAAAAGAATCTGCCTTTGACAACGAGCTACTTGAAGGTCTAATGGACATCATGCATGGATGGGAGACAGAACATTATTGCCTTCTTTTTTAAAAATAACATATGCTTATTGGAGTTTTCCCACTGGCTGTCACGATACATCGATCTCGCCACTGATGGATTTTTGAGCATCGCGATGCATAGGTAGAGAAAGGAAGTGCTAGAATCGAATTGCTGGTGTGTAAAAGACAATGGAATCCTGCAGAATGTTCCTAGCTGACTCGTGACCTGACAAAAACTGTAAGATTGGAGTCAGGCCTAACACCTACAGCAAATGATGATTTCAAAAAAAGAAAACGTTACCTGGACCTAAACAACTGAAAAACATACGAGGGCCACTCAATAAGTTATCTACCTGAATACGAAAGGGATGAGCAACAGGCCTGTGCCTGCTGTGACATGTCTCGACAGGTCTCGTGAGTGCCCCACCACTATACCAGCTCAGAGGCTCAAGTCCGTTCAAAGTGGTAGCGCATTAGATTTCTTTTCCTGAGTCTGTGTCATGGATTTGACGAAAGTCGAACATCGTTCAGTGATCAAATTCCTCACCAAAGAAGGGAAAGCACCTAAGGAGATTCATGAACGTATGTCTAACGTTTATGGTGTGTCTTCGCCTTCTTATTACCGAGTTAAATTTTGGAGCAAGCAGTTTAAGTGGGGAAGAGAGTCAATTGAAGATGACCCAAGGTCGAGGTGCCCTGTGGAGGCTTCTGATCAGGAAATGTGTGACAAATTGGAGAGTGTGATACTGGAGGATCGTCGCACCAAAGTCTCTGTTTTAGCTCATGAACTGGGGATTTCAGAGGGCACAGTGATTCACATTATTCATGAAAAATTACACATGTCCAAAGTCAGTTCTCGATGGGTCCCAAGAATGCTGACTCCAGCTCAGAAGAAGAACAGATCTGACATCTGCAAGGAAAACTTGGAGTTTTCTAAACAAATCGGGGAAACTTTTTTTCCCAGAATAGTAACTGGTGATGAAACTTGGGTTCATCACTGGGATCCCGAAACCAAGCAGGAGTCCATGCAGTGGAAGCACAAGGGATCGCCAACGCCTCGCAAATTTCGTGTTCAGAAATCTGCAGGAAAGATTATGGCCACTGTGTTTTGGGACAGCGAGGGACTACTGCTGCTTGAGTTCATGCCAGACAAGTGTACAATCACTGGCGATTCCTATGCTACCACCATGAAAAATTTACATGATGCCATCAAGGAAAAACGCAGAGGAAAGTTGTCAAGGGGGGTCCTTCTTCTCCATGACAACGCGCCCGTCCACAAATCATGGAAAGTTCAGGCAGCAGTGAGGGAGTGTGGCTTTCAGGAGCTCAACCATCCTCCCTACAGCCCGGATCTGGCTCCTAGTGACTATTTTCTGTTCAGACACTTGAAAAAATTTTTGCGGGGAAAAAGATTTTCATGCAATGAAGAGCTGAAAGTTGCCGTTTCTGATTGGTTTGATGGACAAGAAGTTGACTTCTATTCCCAGGGAATAAAATCATTGGAATCAAAGTGGAATAAGTGTGTTGAGTTAAAAGGTGACTACATTGAAAAATAAAGTGTTATTTTTCCCCTCGGATGTTTCTTTCTTATTCAGGTAATAACTTATTGAGTGACCCTCGTAAGTAAAAAAAAATTGTTGTAAACAAACATTTTTGATACTTCAATTTTGAACAATATACCAATTGACTCATTGGTTGAGATATTCTCAAACTTGGGGTCAATAAGGGGTCAAATGGTCAATTTCAAGGTCCGAATTTTTGTGCATTGGTTTCCACTGACAGAATGCACTATTAAAAAAAAAAAAAACGAGCGGTAGGGCATCCACGGCTGGGAAAAGGGAAATCGCCAGAAATTCTGAGCCCCATTCGAGGCGGAGTTACTCATGACCTTCCCCCCTTCGAAGCTCTAATGCCTTTCACATGCTTTCTGAATTGTCCAATTGACGGCAGCGAATAAAGACGAAGGCTTTGACAAAGCAGGAAGGTGTAGTGAACTAAAATTGGGTGAAATGTACTCTATGGATCGAACCATTATAGGTTATTGCAGACGTTTGTTCAATATTTCGTTGCCTTCGTGTGCAAAGGGCGCATCTCGGCAGGCCGTCGAATTTTTCTTTACGGCAAAAGTTTAGTTTTCATCATCTCCATCACGTGTGAAAACGTCACATCTATAAAACAATCATGAGGCCCGGAGAACGGTGAAGTGACGAAAAGTCGTATCTTGATCGTCAAAATATGTGTGAAAAGATCGCATCTGGTAAGCATGCGAAGAAAACGATGGGTGAAGTAGTCGTATCTCCGCTTCCGGTCACACTTCCGACTCTGGAGGAAAGTTGACCGCTGTGAATTATTCCGCTTCTATTCAACAGAATTATTAAGCTGATATGCCCTATCCTGCCGCATAACAGTAATCAGTTTTCTTCTGCTCTAACTGAAAATGTTAAATAGGGTAAAGGCGCCATTTCGTGGACGTGCTGAGGAAATTTTTATCTTGGAATTTGCACTACGGTCGTTGAAGTCACCGGAGAACTGCGTGTTTGGTTTCATTATGAGGTCATGTATTATAGTTATACAGTTGTATATCCATACTCTAAAACTGAGTATTGATTGCATACTTTTTCAACAATAGGTATTTTATTGACTACATGCGGATTTTCACGCTGTTCCTATTTGTGGACGACCTGGTTCTAGTTTGTGGACACCAGTTTTTTTTTTACAATCATGAACATGGATAGGTCTTATAAGAAGATATAACCATGGGATGTGAGCAGCAGTTTTATTCATCGTCATTGAGATGAAAATCAATGAAAAATCACACATTCTTCACATTTTTTTTTGGCAAGAACAGCTACATCCGCACCCATTTTAGCGAAGCCAAACTCAATACAGTTGAAAATCCGGTGCGCGTTCTCCGATGAAGTCCAGAGACCTTGATCTGATCGCTCAAAAAAAATGTATTTATTAATCCTGATTAAGGGTGGATTTTTGAACCGAGCTCTTAAATAATCCTGCTCTATTG